TGTTAATTTGATGCATGTAAAGTCCAAAAGAAATAAATAAATAAATAAACGAACAAACAAATAAATAAACAAACAAACAAACAAATGAAGAAAGAAAGAAAGAAAGAAAGAAACAAACAAACAAATAAACAAATAAATGAATAAATAAATAAGTAAAATTTCCAATGGAAGTTGATAATGTGAATGATCGACATACTCGTCTCTGATGCGGATTTGTGCTTTGCTTTCCTTGATTTCCTGTACTGCTTCACTAAGGCCATACTCCCCCTGAATGAACAAATGGAAAATGAGCAGTAATTACGTTAGGGCAAGGGCAAGGGCAAATACAAAGAGGAAAAGGAAAAGGTCAACTGCATTGACGAAGACAACGACAAAGAGGAAAAGGAAAAGAGTATGAGATCAATACAGGAAGGATCCACAAGACTCGTGTACTGTATTCCCTACCTTTTCATACTGCATCATTCTTGCCATGAGGTCATTCAACTGTTTATCTTTTCTCTTAGCTGCTTCTTCAGCCTGGAACAAACCAGAAAACAACATATTCAAACAAAGAAAACCCACTTTACAGACACCTGTCTTTACAGTTGTTTTCAATAGGTTGCTATCAATAGACATCACTTCTGGTAATAGCTCTTTTTTGATGGCTTGTAGAATCCTGGAGGTTGTTTTGATCTCTTATTTTCTGGTTTGATGTCGTGAAAATAGTCAAATACAATAGTTTGAGGACTTATTTTGATATGTTTTGGCTTAACATCTGTGAGTTGCCCCCCAGTCAACCGCTTGTTGTACCCCCCAGTCAACTCCAAAAGTCAAGTGATTGATAGTAAGCAATAGCATGAGGATTATCATTGTTCAGGCTGAACCTGTTTGGACTTTGAGTCCTTTGTTAGCCTGTGTTAAGACATTAAATTGCATCACATTCAATCAGTTTCCAATCAGAGTTAATGGGGGCGGGATTAATCTTCAACTAGCAGCTGTTAAGTCAAAACATGTTAAAATAATTATTACTTTTCCTAAAGCCAAGTTTCATCAAATCAACATGTGAGTTGAGTGTTGTATGTTGTAAACATAGAATGTAGTGGTAGTGCGTGTGGAGGGAACCTCAAGGAAGAGCCCCGTGTGGGGAGTGGTGGTTGTAACATATTATCATTATTATTATTTCATATTAATTGCCCTCTAGTCAACTCCAAAAATTTATGTAATTGACAATAAGCAATTAATAAGTTTTAACTGTTATGCAAATTTTGGTGTACAGGTATGAGTGAAGCCTGCATGGTATTTGGTTGTTTGGTTCAGCATTTACCTGAGTTAACCGTTCTCTTTCTTGTGCTGACAGTATCTGTTCTCTTTTTAATGTTGAACCAAGTTCTGCTATCTTCTTCTGCTGATATGCTGAGGGAACACCTGTCATTCACAATAAACAATAATTTATTAGGACTTATTAGGCATCATCAATAGATTGAGAGGACTTATCAGGCCAAATAAAAAATAAGTGTGTTTCCTGTTGCGCGACCAACCCTAATTTTCTTGCCGATTTTTGCCGACCCTAATATTTTTTCATTCCCAAATGCACCACAGGGTTCCCAGTCAGCTCATTTCCACTGTCGTATCAGTAAAAAAAAACACTTATTTTTTTGTTTGGCCTCATAGGAAGGGTTATCATGGTTTTTTTTGGGGGGGGGGGAAGGAGCTTCAGGGCTCTTATATTTGAAGGTTTACAACATTTTGTAGTGTAACATACAAAAGAGCACTTAAGTGTAACATTTTATTTGGTCCATAAGGAAATTTCAGAGTGGATAATAGACAGAAAAAGTTAAAAGTTAAAATTAAACCCCTTTACTCCAATGATAAACTGTTTGGTTCCAAACTTACAGTGCTAAATGAAAAACGGTGGGCACCTAAAAATATTCCAGGAATGTTCTAGTCTTCTTTGGCCAATCAGAATTTACTTTCTCTGTTTAGTTTCCTTGTAATTCAGTTGTTGCATTCGACACACAAACACAGTCCCATGTAGTCGTTATTAGCTTACCAGCATTCTGATTGGTTGTATTTTCTATGGTATGGGATACAGGATAATATATTACCTTTCCCAGCCTGTGCCTTTACTTCCTCCACTTGTTCAGTGACCCCTTTCATTTCTACTGATGCCTGAAAACATAGTCAGACATGGATACATGAAGCTCTAAATATACACCAATCTAAACTAAATACAATACTTCATTTTTACAGTTCCATTCAGTGACCACGAATAATAGTTCCTAGCCGAGGCTGGAGTTACCACGCATGATAAACTGTAGTTTTGCTATGCGCGGAAACTCCAGCCTCGGCTAGGACCGGAAGTATTATTCCTCGTCACTGAATGGAACTGCAAAATAGAGTATTATTTTATTTACAGTATCTGTTAGTATAGGATATTACACTCTGTTGCACAAAGAAAAACATTGTTCACACGAACAATGCTAATTGCAAACGCAAGCATCGCTAATGTTTACATGCAAATGCAAATGCAAGCAAATTGAGCTACAGGTACACAAGCACAGTAGTGTTTCTTCACATCAAAAAAAATTTGGGCAACTGCAAAAGTCCAACTTGATCAACACCAGATATATATCTTGTACAAACCTTTTCAAGTTCTTGTCTTAGCATTTGTATTTGTTCATCTTTTTCCACCAAAGCCTAACAGATCAACAATTTGAAAAGATCAAATCACACTCCAGTCCAGCACTCTACTAGTTACCACACTCCAGTGTGGCTCATGGGAATGTTAACATTCCACGCAAGCAAATTAAACAAGTGTAGTACAGTGTACAGCCATACTGCGATGACTGCCTGTTGAATGATCGTGTGTTACATTCCTGTGAGTGTACTGTACATGTGAGATTGAAATGAGTTGAATTGAGATATAAGACGAATTTCTCTACAGCATAACATCATTTGAAAACCTCAATAAGTGCTAGAGCAACAATGACATTATCAGTACTGCCGATCTGGTCATCTCCCAGTGATAAAATAGGACCAAGACCAAGGGGTCAACCAGGACCATGGCAAATAGACCACCTTGGCTCAGGCATAATGTTTTTCCATTTCAGACCATGTGTCATTCCCTTGAGAATAAAATTCTTTGTTTGAGTTGTATCCATATTCATTTGTCTTCTCATGTGCAACCATTAAAAAATAAATGATACTCAAGGAAATGACATGTGGTCTGAAATCGGGAAAACATTACACTCAAGGTAAAAAGGTCTATTACTCTGTCTTCTGATTTACAACTGTTAAACAAAGAAATGATACTCTAGAGAATAACACATGGTCTAAATGGGAAAACATTACACTCAAGGTAGAGGTCTATTACTCTGTCTTCTGATTTACGACTGTTAAACAAAGAAAGGATACTCTAGGGAATGACATGTGGTCTGAAATGGGAAAACATTACGCCCAAGGTAAAGAGGTCTATTACTCTGTCTTCTGATTTACAACTGTTAAACAAAGGAATGATACTCTAGGGAATGACACGTGGTCTGAAATGGGAAAACACTACATCTGAGCTGAGAAGGTTTTTTGGCTCAAAGCCTGAAGATAATAATTTAATACTCTAGAGGTTTGTTTCGTACCTGTTGTAGCATGGCCATCGATGATCTATCAGAATCCATTTCCAGTCCAGTCACTCTTTGTCTTAGTTCGCTAATGATACCTTTGTACTGCTCTATCTCTGCCTCTTTTTTTGCCAGGACAGACTGTTAGTCAATGTGCAAATAATCAGTCCGTCAGTATGACAGACAGGAGGGAGGAATGGATTTACAAAGACTGGAAGAAAGGTAAACTGATAGATAGAGAAATGGATGGATGAAAAAAGCGAGGGAGGGAAGGATGAATGGACGGACGGGCGGACGGACAGCAGGGTTTGAAATAGCGGCCTGCCAATGGCCAAAGGTGAAAATAACGATACACTGCCAAATGAATAATAAAATGGCATACAAAATTTACTGGAATGACCTCCTTTTAGCATGCTCCTTTACTATGGCAGGCTACAATTTTTTTCTACTTCGAGCCCTAGACAGACGGACAGACAGACATATGGAGGATAGGGTGGATAGATGGATCATGAAATGACCAATGAACAAATAGATATGGTAGATGGGTTAACAGAAACCAGATGGTTAAACAATAACATACCTTCCATTCTTCTACTTTCAAATTGACAGCCATCATAATCTGGTCATCGGCATCAGTTTTCGTCGAGACCTGGACTCTCAGATCTTGAACCTTACAATGACAACAGTATGACACTTAAACAACAGACATATTTTACGTCAAATAGTTGGACAAAATAAT